ATTCACCAGAGACAGAGTGGGGAGCAGAACAGGCAGATGGACGAAGTACACTGCTGAGGGGAGCAGTAGGAGAGACAGGAGAGGTCTGCTGCACAATGGGGGTCACTTCCAGGGCTAGGGATAGAACTCACACTGAAGCAGCAGCAGCTAGCTTGCAGTGATGCATCCTAACCCATTGTGCCACCAGGGAGGGCCCAAACCTATTTCTTGACACTTCTATTTTGGCACTTTATGATCTTTACACTCTTTACCACTGCAACATACACATATATTCATACTCACTATGCACACTATTATAGCTATATAAACCTCCTTCAAAGCTGAGCAACAATATATATAAGCACTACATCTCTATTTTTGCAACTTTATTTTTCCTGGAATTAGTAATTGCCTTTGTTTGGATTGTACTTTTTTATTCAAACTCTTTCAAAATACTGCAAAACTCTTCCTAGTATAGCCAAATACCCAAGGTAACCAATCTGTCACTGCATTATTTTGGTGGCCTATCTCTTAGTTTTCCATCTTGCAGTTCTACTCTAAGCACTTTGCTCAAGACTTTTTATGTTGAAGCTACTAATTCTTTGTCCTATGTATTGCAGTGTATGTTCTTTGTTTCTGAACTTTTTGAAGTTATAAACTTAAATATAGCTTTTATTGTAGAAATATAAAAAGAGCATGTTAAGTTCAGTGGCCAATATTGTTTTACCTAAACCTTTACTCCCATTCCCTCCCATTATTTTGAAGTAATCCTAGGTTCATATAATTTTGTTTCACTGTTAAAGTATGTATTTCTAAATAAGAATTCTTAAAACACATTAACACACCTAAATATCAGTAATTTCTTAATCACTCAATGAAGTATTGAACACATTTTTTTTTGTTTTAGATGAATGAGAATGTATTGCTCAAACCTTAAAACTTAACCATAATAAGCCCATGACCTAATTCTTAGTTACATTTAGATACAAAGAACATCTATTTTTTTTATTGATGGCTATCAAGAGACTAAGAAAATCAACTACCTCTTTCAAGTTTCACTTCTTGTCACTCTCATTTCCTATTTTTTATTACAAAAGTTTATTTTTACATCATTTTGCACATTTTTTTTTCCATCTCGATTGTAATCCCCGTGGGTTTCCCATCACCAAATCACCCATGTGCCACCACCATAGTCCCATGCATTTCCCTCATTTCCTATTTTTAAAATTAGGTTCTGAGCATGATGGAAGAAAATGAAACAGTGGATGATATTGCAAAACTAGAGCAACAGGAATTTGGCTTGGATCTTGAAGAACTGGAAAGGCTCCATGATGAAAGTGAGGAAGAAATAGCAAGGGTATGGAAATATAATTTAAGCACCATAAAGTTATGATAAAGGATAAAAAAAAACATAATGCAAATAAAACAAAACTTTACCAGCAGAACATGAATTATGAAATTTAGTGTATATAACTGGACAGAATCAGAGATTATTGAAGTGGAGGGGGGCATTAGGGAGAAAAAGAGCATTTTTCTCTCCTCCATGACATGCCAACCATCTTCCACTGCATGTTTGAACATTTTTAGAAATCCTCTAGCCACCTCAGGACAACGTTGGACACTTTTGGTTTAGTAGGCCCTTTCTTAGAGCAGATACCTACAAGTACAGTTGCTAATTCGTGTTCAACATTTTGAGAAATCTCCAGTTTTCCATGGGCCAGTTCACATGACGGTTCCTTTTGTGCCTCGTCTTTACTAACACTACTGGTCTTTTTGAAATGAACCATTCTCACAGGTAGCATTTCATTATATTTTTGATTTTCATCTCCCCAATAATAAGTGATGATAAGCATATTTTTCCTGTAACTGTTGGCCTTCTGTATGTCTTTTTGGAATGGTGGCTACTTAACTCTTATGTCAATTTTATGTTTGGGTTATTTGTTTTCTTTTTGTTGAGTTGTATAAGTTCTTTATATATATATTGCATATCAGCCTTTTGTCAGATGTATCATGTACAATTACCTTCTTCCTTTCAGTTGGATGTCTTTTTGACCACTGGAGAGGCTGATCAAATGGCCTTAGCAATGGAGAGGGGAGCGTGGGATAGACTGGGAATCAGACAGGCTCTGATAATTGATATGCCAAAACAGCAGTTTAATAAAAAGTAATATAAAATTGGATTGACCTCTAGCTCAATGTATAAATGTAAAAAAAATTATAAAACACAAATTAAAGCCATTGCTCAGACAATAAATATGAAAAAATAAACAAGAAATTTTCAAGTCGAGGGGATATTTTTCATAGTTTTCTAACAATTATGGCAACAAAGTGAAATGCAAAATGTTTCTGAAGTAGTTCTTAAATTCTGTTGGGGCTTGCTTTCATCTTAACTCTTTGGCAAACTATTAAAATCAGAATGCTTAATCACTACCTAAGTATTAAATAATTAGATTATTTAAGCATCTAAAACTAATTGAGGGAGCACCCATTTCTAAAAGGTAACTTATACGACCCTCAGGAGTAGTGGGGCTTTCACATCTTTGGATATAACAGAAGAATTAAGTGAAACAAAGACCCCAAGGCAGAGGTCACAGACTATAACTTCAAATATGCAGAGACCAGAATTAAGTGCTCATTTAGATAACCAGCAGTTTCATAAGAATTCCAAACTTCTCTAATAAAAGAGAAAGTTTCGATACAGGGGTTTGCTTCCCTCTCTCGCACCCACCAGCAGGTCTGTGATTCAGTGTGCTCCAGGCCACAGCTGTGCACCTGTGCTCATACCCACCTGGCTCACGAGTAGGCTCTGCCTATCCTGAAGGTGCTTGTGTTGGCACCTTGATCCCCAAAGAGGGGTATCCCAAGCCTCCTGACGGAACTCCAGGAACTGTCCTCAAGGACAGAAAGTATTCCTGCAGTACTTCTCATGGGGGGCAGCTCCATGCTTTGGGGAAGATCAAACCCTCTCACTAAACATGAGCCTATGATAGTTTTAGTGAATTTACAGTTGAGATTTTTTTTTAATAGACCACATTCTCATTTTTATCTTTTCCCTTATTTATGCTCATAGATAAGAAAGGATGCAGAGATGCATAACCTAGCCAAGAGATACTTAACTGAACTTATCAAAGAAGAATGTTGGTATTCAATGGCTGTGAAAGGTCGAACTCTTAAGGTAACAGATATAATCCCAGGTTGAAAACTGCCAACACCGTGGTCAATGGACAATTTCACTTATATTCTCATGGTAGAAAATTTTTAGAAAGGTGCCCTGCCCACTCCTGGGCGGAATCACACCAAGTGCGTTCCTTGTCTCATTCTTCCTTCTTTGCTCAGATCCTGTGAGCTTCCAAGCCAGCATCTCTTCAGATTTTTCTGAGATTGCTGAGAAATCGCTTTCAGATTTCTTTCCTGTTTTCCTTTGTGACAATCCCTGCATCTGGGTCTTAATATGTCAGTTGCAAAAGGCTGCTCACTTACATTCCACACTTTCCACACTGAAAGTGAGACGTAAGAGTGTGCCTGACTTGACGGTTCCCAAAAGGTCCTTTTTCATTACAATTCCTCCTAACACAATTTCCCTCTTTTTATTATTTTTTTAAAATAAGATTTATTTATGCATACAAGAACTGTGGTACAGGCCAGAGGTGTGGGAGGTGAGAAGACAGACAAGAGTCAGAATGGGAAGAACAGGTGGATCTACTGAAATACATTGCTGAGGGGAGCATTGGGCAGGACAGGAGAAGTCTGCCAAGCCATGTGGGTCACCTCCCTGGCTGGGGATCAAACCTGTGCTGCAGTAGATGTGGACAGCTTCATAGTGCTATGCTTTAACCTGCTGCAACACCAGGCAGGGCCCAATTTCCCTCTTTTTTAGCAACCAAACATCCTATATATGGTCATTCCTCATTTATGAAATTGAAGTGTTCAAGAACAGATAATTTCTCAAGTGCAGCACATTTGGAGCTGGATAATTCTTTGCTGTGGGGGCTAACCTATAGATAGAAAATTTAGCAACATTCCTGGCCTCCATTTACTAGTCATCAGTAGCACCCCAAACTCCCATTAGTGAAAGATAAAAAATGTCTTTAGAGATTACCACATAGCTCTGGAGCAGGGTAGGCAAAATCACTCCTGGTTGAGAACCAATGCTCTAGGAAAATAAAAATCCTTTGCAAGGATATCCTTTGTATTGTATTTCTATACAAATTGTACTCCAATACTAATAGCATACATTGTCTTAAGGGAAGTTTCCATTGTCAATATCACTCAAGCATATAACCCATGAATTAATTCTAATCAGGGAAACCATCTCCCACTCTACCCAGATACACACAGTTGCACTAAAAATGGATTTATTTCTTCTTCATTTTTTTCAAGTGCTTTCACATCCCCTGTATGGTTGAGAACTTCCCAATGAAAGAACGTTCCAAGGAAGAGATGAAAGAGTTGAAGAGAGTTGTGCAGCAAAAGAAGATTGAAACAGATTGTCTTAAAGTACAATTTTAAATAGCTTTGGGTTAATAAAAGTCATGTGTTTTATTGCAGTGTCAGCATGTAGATTTGAATTGGGATACAATTTAAAATAAGTTTAGATATTGTTTGCATTCATATTTTCATTCCTTGTTAATTTGTAGACTATCTCCTAGACTATATCTACACAAAAAATCAAGGCTATAGTCGACACAACACTGACTAGCCCAGTCCTGGTCAGAAGTTCTCTTCATCCATAACTTTCTTTTATCTTATCACTAGGGACTGTACTTAAGCTAACTGACCAGGGATGAAGTAGAGCCTGTTTTTGTGGAATTATGGTTTTCCTAAAGTAGTTCCAGCTCTTGTTTTTAGCAATAACCTTTGTCAAAACATTGAAAAATACTGACTCTTTGGTGTACTTTTGTTTGACCAGATCTTTGTATCCATTATTTTTCTCAAACATCAAATAAGGTATACTTAATTTTTCTTAACCTATGTGAATACGTTTCTTTGTAAAATATGAAGAGAAAAGGTATAATGTTCAAGTACTAAGACTCAAAATATATATAAGCCTTTCTGACAGAAAAATATAGTATCAAGAACAAATTTTACTCTTTGGATTAATTTAATCAGTTTCCAAAGCTTTAATATCTTGTGCAAAAATTTCAGGGTCCATTTATTACTTTGAATTCAATTTCTGGCAAGACTAGTTTAACACCTTAAGATGACTGTTGAAATAATAAAAGTTGTCACAAAATTGCCCTTTAAAGAATTATTGCTATTGCATAACCCCCATGACATATTTATCTATCTTTAGTTCCGGAAGGAAATTGTAGAAGTTCAGTCTTCACCTGGCTTGAGTAAACCACATCATGATGAGGAAGATGAAGAGGAAGAAGAAAATGTGGTTATAAAAGACACCAACTTGCCCAATTACCTGCTTGGCAGTCTGAGTACTGAGTTTGGAGTAGATGTCTCTTTATTATCAAGCCAATTGGAACTTCATTCAAGAGAGGAGAAAATCAACCAAATAATATTACTGAAAGTGGGTGGATTTTTTAATTTATCACTGAAAATCTCTAATGCTCACCTTGAGATGTCTTACAAAGACTCAAATTGAAATCTAATAATGTCTTACGTCTTTCAAGTTTATAGAGAAGTATACAGATGACTGGCATCTATATTCTTAAAACGGAGGTTTCATATAGAGAGTTATTTTCATCTATTTGGACTCTGTAATACCAAATTATCTGAAACCTATTCTGGATGATACCACAAACCTAAGAAATTAAGTCAAATCTAAGAAATCCTTGAAGGCTATCTTCTCAGCAACCCTGATATAAATTAGTACCTCCTTATGAGATCATGATGTATTATTTATCCCCTTAACCTGGATATACAATTTCCACTCTAAAATCTGGGCCTTAAGTCATAGTATCCCTCAGCCTCTAAACTCCTGCTTCTTACTTGCCAATCAAACAAATCAGCCTCAGAACACATCTATACACACCAAATAAAGATGCAGTAGCTGGGACTGTACCAGTGCAGGTGGTTTATAAGGTAATGTTCTGTCCTGTTCTGAAAACTCTTCAGCCATGACTATGACTATAGTTCTAGCCTCCTGCCATGTTACTCTGCCTCTCTTCATATCTTTTTCCTTCCTGCTGAAATATCTGTGCATTTATATATTTACTTATGTATTTATTTATGCATACAGAACTGGGGAACAGGCTAGAGGTGTGGGGGGGGGTAAGAGGATTCACTAGAGACAGAGTAGGGAGCAGAAGAGGCAGGTCCACTGGATGAGGGGAGCAGCAGGGAGACAGGAGAGGTCTCTGCCACACCATGTGGATCACCTCCCTGGCCAGGGATCAAATTTGTGCTGTAGCAGCTGTGGTTACCTTTGTAGTGCTGTGCTTTAACCTGTTGTGCCTCCAGGGGGGGCCCAATTTCTGTGCTTTTATACTCAATACTATTTAGTTACCTCTTTTGTTGCTGCTGCTTATCCATGCCCTCAGGGTCTCACTGTCCCACTGCTTAAAAAGCATTTTCCAGTAAGAAGGTAATTTCAGCCCAAGACAAATTCTGGTGTGGCAGTTAAGATTATTTTTTCCATCCTGTTTTAATGGTTTCAACTTTAATAGAATAGATGAACTCTGATGGGACAATTAAGGCTACTTTTGAGACAACCCATTGTTCTTCTGATCAGCAGAGATGGGGGCAGTCTAGTTGGACCTGCCTGTACCTTAGAGAGGCCTGACCCAGCTGGCAGCTTGAGTCCCTCCTGCCTGAGGGTGACCTATCCATGTAGCATAGACTATAATGTGTGTGAGTGAGCTTCTCTGAGAGATTCTCCAGCTCCTATAAGCCATCTCTTCCTCACCACATCCCCCCAGACAAGGGTCCAAAGAACAGATATTCCCCAGCTAAAACATGACATCTTGATTTTTAAACATTTTATGGTAGATTTTTAGAACATACACAAAAGTAGAAAGACTTAGCCCCCAAAAGCTTCTAAGCAATCCATCATCTACTTCTAGAATTTTCAACATACAGCACATCAAGCTGCCACTTCTATTTCTGACAGTAGGTTGTAAGATCACATTATGCTGTTGCCTTAATCCAGCCTATGGTTGGAAGCCACTGTAAGTGACTGAATCAAGAAGTGACTTAAACTTTCAGAAAGATCAGTTTTCTGTCAATTTACAAAATAACATTGGAGGGGAAGTAAAACCGTGAGATCGTGCTGCCAAAACCGATATAACATGTGATGTGTTTTCAGTAACATTTTGATATTTCAGGATATCATTTACAAGGTAAAAACTGCTTTCAATAATGAGTTCGATGCTGCATATAAACAAAAAGAGTTTGAAATTATGCGTGTGAAGGAAAAAAATGTAAGACTTCAAGAAATTATTGTAGATCTGGAATTAGAAGAATCAATCTGGCAACCAGAATTTGATGACTTTGAGAAGCCAGAGAGAATCCTTGTTGTGGAAAATAATGAGGTACTGGCTGATGGCTTACCGGGCTAATGGTTTAACTCCTCCCCGCTGTGTTTTCCCAAGACCTTATTTAGTCATGTTCTTGTTTACACTACTGGAAGCAACAGTGTTAGGGAGAATTCTTGGTTATAAATAATATTAACAGCTGACATAGTCTCAGCACTAATGAGGGTTTCATCTCTGAATCCCATGAAGTCCAGGGAAGATGGGGACACTACTACTAAAAACAAACAGGATTCAAACCCTCTAACTTTGTGGAGAGTCTAAAAGTCCTCTTTGTTAGCTTTTTCTCCTTGCTTTTCAGCTTCATCTCTCAATTTCCACTTTATGTTTCCTACACTCAAGAAAGCTGGAGGTTTTACCTTGAATCTCTTGCTCCTAACTCCAGACCTGCCAGGGCAGGGGCTCCCTGGCCAGTCTGGGCCCAGCACCTACACCCAGAGGTGAGGCCACACTGAGTGCCAGGCTGAGGGACCTCTGGTCATTACCTATGTCACCAGGGTGGTATGGGTCCCAGAAGGAGGCTTTCTTAAAAGGCACAGAGGGAACTGGTTACAAAAACTGCTTAAACAATAAAAATATCAGCATGCCACTTCTTAAAAATATAAAATGCCAGAGAATCCCCAAAGAAAACCATTTGCTCACATAAAGACAATTTGCTTGGGAGCAAAAGAGAACAGCATTGCTTAGGAGTAATAACACAGGATCCCTCCTGAAAAGCTGAAAGCTGTTCTTAGTGCCTCAAAGAGACTGAGACTAATTTATCACTGTAAAGCCTCCATTTTACAGATGAGGAAATAAGGCACAGAAGAGTTAAGTAGTTTGATCACAGTTACAAAGCTACTTAAGAAAGTTAGGATTCGACCCCCAAACAATCATGCTTCCTTCTCACCTCTCCTCTCTACAGTATGTGTTTAGGGAGTCATTTTTCCCTTGACCTGGACTCTTGCCAGGTAACCTTAAGACTCTGGAGCAGTGACAGCAGGACCTCACTCTCCTGCTCTCACCAAGGTCTGCTCTGGACAGTATGTATGTAATTAATCTCGCCAGCTCTGCTGCTTCTCCTACTACACCCCTTCTACATTCAAGAGAGTGATTTCATTACAACCCAAACTGACACTGTCCTTCCCCAGCTTAACCCACTGCAGTGGCTGCTCCTTTCCTTTGGCAAGCACTCTCCAGTTGATTCTGGTTGTGAATCCTGAACTCCCTCCCTCATAGGCTCCTCCCTACCTTGCTCAGTCCTGGCCACCTTTGCATTCTCAAAAGTCCTTGACTGTCTCATAAGTTATTAACCTCCCAGAACCTCCGCCCTGCAGATTTGGCATAGATGACACATCTTTGAAACCAACCTCCCCAACCTACCACTTAAATCAGCCCCCCATTAAATAATCTCTAGTGATGGGGATGGGTTTTAAGACTCAATCAGGAAGTAAAGCTCTGTTTTTCCAACCCTGTCATTTTAGATCTCCTCTTCATTCCAAGATAGGAAATTGGTCGCAAATCTTGATTGCCCTTTGGATCCCCTTAATAATACCTTCTTACCTGAAAAAAGGTTGGCTTGAATTTTATTAAGTGTAACAGCAAGAAACTACATTTTCTCTTTCAGATTACAGCTCCAAGGCATGTTAGTTCTCGGCAAAAAGACAAAATAGGATCGGCCATAACCCATGAAATGGAGCAAAGTTTGCGTCGGGTATGCAGTTTTGCATAAACAGTACCTAAAACCCTCTTTCCTTTAGGAATACTTGTTCCTAATTTGGCCTAGTGGTCATGTATTTAGAATTTCCTATAGAAGCACATCAGGCATTTGTCATGCTCAGTGGCCCCCAGACCTCAGTGACCACCTTCTCCCTTTCCTCTACATGCCCCTGTCCCCCTCCCCAGCCCTAAATGCAGTCACAGTAACACTGGGTGAGAGGCTGCCATGGTGACACTGGAGTGTCAAGAGTCTCAGCTACCCTCTCTGGTCCTGCTCTTTCCCAGAAAAGTGACACAAGACAGAGAGCCCTGATGGACATGATGGGAGGAGTACTGGAAGTCAAGAAGGAAGACATTTTAAGAATGGTGAGATTTTGGAATATTCTTTTTGAAGGAGAAATGAGGTGGAGAGCACCACTTAATTTTACCATTTCTGTTACATGAACCTTTTTTAAAGAAATTCTTTAGCAACAGATATTATCCCCCTAGAACCTCAAAATCATACATCAGGAATTTAAAGAAATTTGAAACCTCAAACTTCTTTTCCATTTTGACCAAAAGCAAAGGAACAAAAATAAGCTACCAGTGGTTTGGGGTCTCTACAGAAGGCTGGATAATGATGCACCTGTAATTCTTTAGAAAGCATTGCCTTGAATGCAGACATGCTTGTCAGTTCAGGCACTGTTCTGCCAACGAAGATAACAACTCACGCATCTGAATCTGTCACCCATGAGTATGGATGGGTATATCCCAAACCATCCACTATCGCTTAAGCCACTCATGACATTTTTTCATATCCTTTGATCAAAGGCATCATCATGCCAATATGAAAAACTATAACCTTTTAAAGGGCTTTTATTATTTTTTAACTGTAATGGTAACTCAGAACTATTAATGTATGACCGTGTCTATGTTCAAGCTAGAGTACATGCTTTCATTTATGTCTTCAGGTGATCCCTCAACCTGCTTTCATGGCAAAACCTGATGCTTTGTGGACTGAAGAGGAAAGGAAACAATTCAAAGAGTATGAGAAAAAAGTGAAGGAGTTAAATGAAGAAAGAGATAAATATAGAAAGGTCAGCAGAGCAGTGTTATTTTAACCTATCACATTAAGGGTTTTGTTTCATCTCAAGTTAATGCCCATCATTTTCGCAGTTTTTAGTAGCTGAAGGATTGTATTTGAGCTTAAATTTTCAAGAGAATTCAGAGAAGTCAATGGAGGTAAACTGAAACAAGAGGATAATTTAAGAGTAAAAGAATATTTAACAACTTTTTAAGTTCCTGATTTCAGCATTTCCCACATTGTTGTAATTCACTTGGTTTGTTCTCCATTCTTCAGATGTTGAAGGACACCCATTATAGTATGCTCAGTGCACTGTCCCATGGTATCTGTGCTGACCTGAGCTCAGTAATACTTTTGCTTGATTTGGTCTCAATCTCAAGAAGACTACAGAAGAGAATGACACAATCAGCACAGCATTTAGTTTACAGCTGTAATTTCAGACTTTTGTAATGCAGTTCTACTTTTATCCCCTTTCATTGAAGGTAAAGAAACATTCCCACATTAAAATTACTTATAATTATAAAAGAGAAACAAAAGACGATGGTATACAACCCAATAATGGTTATTCTCTGAAAAGAAAGTGAAATCATACCACCCTTCCATACAGTAGGATTTGTCAGTTTCAGAGTGGTCATAACTCATGAATCATTTCCTTGAACCTACTGCTAACCTATAAACCTATTTTTATTCACTGCAGTTCTTTAACAGTGCCCGTGCATTTTACCCTAAGGCAGTACTTATCTAAAAGCCAGAAAGAGCAGCATTGAGTGTAAATAAAGATTTGAAGGCGTTAGGGAGTATAAATGCCTAAAGTTGGGCATTGACCCTATGGTCTTGCACTGTAAAATACTTCACACTTACACTCTCCCCTCCCTGATCCTTGATACTCTACCTGGCAAAACCCAAACTTGGCACTAAGCAATGAGAAAAGAAATAGAATTAGTTTACATTTAAATTAGTGGCTATAATCTTCATTGGGTCTAGAGAATACTCGGCACTGTATTTCCCCTCTAGCTGGTCCATAGGAACTGGGAGATCTTGTTTAAAAAGTAGATTCACATTCTGTCATTCTGAAGATGTGGAAGAACACAGATTCCCCATTTCTAATGAGCAGCTGCTGCTCTGAGAACCACACTTTGGGAAGCAAGTTCACATCAGGCATTCTCCGCTATATTAGGGTCCCAACACCTGACCTCAACTCACCCTCGCCTTATTTTCTCTCTCAGTGGGAGAAGAGATGCAGCTATGAGAGATTTTCCTTACTCTTTTCCACCACATCTACTGCCCTGAGTCCATACACGCTCCAGCCTTTCTGTTTCTTATGGGAAAAATGGCCTTGCCTTCCACTCACTCCTCCCAGCAGTCTGCTCCTCTGCCCCTCAACCCCACCTCTCCATGTTCATGTCCCTCTCTACTGGATGTTCCCAGCAGCTTCAGGCCATGCTGTCACCTTAGGCATCTCATCCATCTCTTATTTTACATACACACAAAACACTTCCGCCAAGAGGATTTTTAATTCTATGTTCTTTTTAATTCATTAAAAATAAAAAAATCTAATAGAGAAAACATTCTCTTGAGCCACTTTTGCCTCAATCCACTGTGTTTAATATCTTCTCAAAAGATATTCATGGTCACCAATTTCTCTCTCCTCAATCTTTTTTTTTTTTTTAAGATTTATTTATTTATACATACAGAACTGGGGTACAGGTCAGAGAAGCAGGGGCAATGAGAGACTTCATCAGAGACAGAGTGTGGAGCAGAACAGACAGACTGACAAAGCACACTGCTGAGGGGAGCAGCGGGCGGGTCAGGAGAGGTCTGCCACACCATGTGGGTTACCTCCAGGGCGGGGATCGAATTCATGCTGAAGCAGCTATGGCTAGCTTCATGGTGCTGTGCTTAACTAGTTGCACCACCAGGGAGGGCCCTCTCTCTCCTCAATCTTAAAAAACCTTTGTGTATAGAAAATGTCAAACATATCAAAGCAGAGAGAACAGTATAATTACCCATCATCCAGTTGTAACAATTATCAGTTCAGGGCAAATCTCATTTTATATTTCCATCTACTTTTGAAATAGGTGATTTTTTTTTCACCAACTTCTATCTTCAAATTATTCAAACACACAGAAATGTCTCATAAAGAGTAATCCATATCCCTAAAAAGCCTATGCACCCAGTTTTTCATACTGCCATTTATTTTTTTTCTCCTGAGTTGCTGAGGATAAATTGCAGACATTGCGACAGTCCCCAAGACAACAGCATAAATCTCCAAAGAACAAAGACACGCTTCCACGTGACTGTACCAAAGTGACAGGAAGTGTAATGCTGACATAACACAATTCTCTAAATACAATCCATATGCAGACTTCTCTATTGTCTAATATACTCCATAGCTTTGCTGTTGCGGCTAATCCAAAAAAAACGAATCAACTGCACTTGGATTTCATGTCCTTTTAGTCTCCTCTAATGGAGAAGTGCTGCATTCATTCCCTGACACAAAGGCCAGCTGTTCAGTGGAATGTGGCTCAACTAGGCTTTGACTGTTTGCTCATTAGACTGGGGAAAATATACTTGACAGTAATCCAGCATAGTCCAGGCCATGCATCACATCAGGGGCAGTGCAGGCCAGCTGGCCCCCACTACAGGTGGGACCTGATCACTTTGGGATTTATTTAAAAATGAAAAGCTAGGCCCTCCCTGGTGGTGCAGCGGGTTAAAGCACAACACTAAGAAGCTTAAGCCACTTCCGCATGAGTTCGATTCCAGCCTGCCCCAGAAGTGACCACATGGCATGGCAGACCTCTCCTGACCCACCCGCTACTCCCCTCAGCAGTGTACTTTGTCGATCTGCCTGTTCTGCACCACGCTCTGTCTCTGGTGAATCCTCTCACCCTCTGCATCTCTGGCCTGTACCCTAGTTCTGTATGAATAAATAAATAAATCTTAAAAAAAAAATGAAAAGCTAGAAAGTAAAAAAGTGTAATGAAGGTGTATTTACAGCTTTAAAAAAATCAATGTATTTTTTTAAGGGTTATATTGTATGCCTGGAAATTTCTGTCTTTAATAAAGAGTCAGAATTTCCTGGGGAGATTTCTCAAATCTATTTTACCAGGCCTACTTCTATCAGAATCATTAGCAATGATCAGTTTTCTTTTAACCTTCCATGTAATCTTTTTTTTTTTTTTGTAAAAACTTCAGATAATACATTAAACAGATCCAGGTGGAACATCTCTGGTTGAAGAGGGCAGAGGACCCAGAACCCCAGGGTACCTGCCCTCCACCAGCACCTCCCAGGCACATTTGATGTACCTGCATGCTAACGTTGCTACTGATTTCCCTTTAGTCCTTAGAAGCAGAAATGAAGAAACTTCAAAACTCAATTCAAGAAAGCACACAGAATTTTGATGAACATCTGAAAAGGCTCTTTGAAAAGAGAGTAAAGGCAGAGATGGTTGTTAACCAGGTAAGTAAAGGCTTTATTTAAGTGACTTATTGTAAGGATCCTCCAGGTGGCTTGTGGCACCCTAGTGACTGTGCTCCTGCAGGGCCTGGTTCCCACTGCAGCTCCCTCCTTGCCACTCACCCCCTCTCTTGCTACCCCCCTGTTCATGTGCCTGGAACTTCCCAATTTCTCCTCCTTTCCAACTTCGCCTATAATGCTCTGCCAATTTTGTTTCCTTTTGCCCTATATCTACCTATCTGTCAAGGGTCAGATTAAAAACCCAGTTCCTTAGTCTAAGTTTGACCTTCCCATTAAATGTTCTTTTATCGTTGATTAATCACTGCATCTAAATTTTAATTTTTGTGAGATTACTTTTCAAATGCTCCCTGGACTATCAGCTCCCCAAGGATAGGGGTTGAATCTCATCAATCTTGTGTGTCCAGCAGCTAATAAAGGACTTAAATTACAGTATATGTTGAATGAATGAATAATCCATGTTCCAAAACACCAGATGAACAAGCTGGCTTAATTTGATTCAGCAGAAGAATATAGATGAAGTGTGCAGTAACTAGAACCAAGATGACCAAGGAATGAGGCCCAAAATCTGAGGGAAATTATTTTTAAGAATGGATTCTATAGCTGGCTAGACCATCAGTTGAGTGTAAGAGGAGAATCATGGCATTTTGAGACATGCAAGGTCTTGAAAATGTATATGCATTTATTTTCCAGGAGCTATTGGAAATTACATCTCACAAAATTAGGGCAGTCAACCCAAAAATGTAACAAAAGTTAAGGGCATCTCCAGGAGGATGTCTGTATCCTCAGGGTTCCAACAGGACTGTACACTGAGGGTCACTAAATGGAAGAGGTTAACACAGGCACTCCTGAGGTTGGCAGGATGAAGAGAAATAGCAAGGAATGTCACAACAGCCAAGGACTTAAAAACAGCCAGTATCATCTCTGGAACTAGAGACAAGGAAAGGGAGCACTTTCCAGGACCCGGGAAGACCTGTAATCAGGGAGGGGCTGCCCCTCTGGGGCATGGACATCTACAGAACATAATCACTGGCCAGGGATAATATATACTTGGTAGTTGGCCATGGGGAGATTGGGAATGAATCAACATTATTTTTAATGGCTAGAAAATAGAAAATCTGAGCACCCAACAGCTGTGAATGGATAAATTAAATTGGGTTATCCATGTAATGGAGTATTACTCAGCAATAAAAAGTACTGATAAATGCTTCAGCATGGATAAACTTTAAAACCAGGTTAAGTGAAAGAAGCCACACATCTGAGACCACATGGTTCCATTTATGTGGAATGTCCAAAAGAGGTTATTCCATGGAAAACTGACTAGTGTCACGCTGCTACAGCCTGCTTCTCAGAGGGATGCAACTGGCTCTAAAGGAGATTCTCACAGTGATGCTTGCACATGAGGCATACACCAACATTTAATTATATACTTTAAATGAGTGAAGTACACCTTAATAAAGCTGTTATTTTTTCAAAGATATGTTTAGAACATCTTGTCATACAAGATAAGGAGGAAACCATCAAAATCACAAAGTACTCAAGAGCCAACTTTAGAAGCTCCCCTCAATGGAACAATTTATGCTTCAATGATGACATTAATTGTAATTTATTGTAACCAATCAAACTTACTGACATTTATGAATTTGTCATACTTTAAAAAGAAAAACTCTAATTGTTCACCTGCAGAAGTTAACAACCAATTCGTTATTTAAATCTGATAAAGAGAAAACAGCAAATATTTATTTTGCATTCCTGTATGAACTGTACCACTAACTAACCAAATAGCAGTTGAGAATTTTACTTAATAAATGAAAAAAGAAATGACAAAAATTCTTTATTCATATGACAAGTCAAAAAGTGGTATCACCAGGAGGGTGTCTTGACCCTCAAGATCCCCACAGAAGTGGTACACTAGAAGGTCACCTTTGAGAAGGGTTAATGCCAGGACTCAAAGTGATACCACTTTTTTGCAACTCTCAAGGGGGTGAATAGCTAACATCACAAATATACAACCAAACACTGGATGTCTCTTAATCAAAAAACACAGTGTTGCAAAAAAAAATAAATAATTAGACCTGGGTCTAGTGATTAGGCATCTGACCTGGCTACCAGATTTCAGGAAACCATCGAATAAGGATGCAGACAGTGGGGCCCAGACGCAGAGGGGTGCAAGGGAACTTGTGGCTTCTAAGAGACTAAAAAATGTAAGCCTGTTTTAAATGGACAAGGTATGTTGTGCTATCTAGAGATGCACACTTGGGTAACAGAACTAAAAAGAAAAACAAGATGTGATTACTAAGAGTCAGGGCAGTGGTTAGCACTGGAGTGGAGATTATAAGAGGTCCCAGAGAAGAAGTTTCCACAGTGGCAAGTTTCACTTCTTGGACTGGGCGTTAATTACAAGGGTATCTGCCAGTGTAAACACTCCCCAAACTATGCATAAGTTCTGATTTTTCTGTGTGTTTTATCTTACAATATAAGAAACTGTGTGTAGTAAGGAAAGTAAAGGTAAAATAACTGAATGTTTATTTTGCATCCTTTTATGAAAAGGAATTTCTCTAACTTGTATGTCAAAAACTTGTTTGATGAATGCCCGGTCTATGATTCACAATAGAAAATCCTTTCTCAGACAGAATTAATTATTTCTCCCCCTCCCCTTTTAAATATTTCTACAGGAAGAATTGAAAATAAATAACCTTGTTTTTTCTTTACTGTTGGATGAAGAAATAAGCAGCAGAGAATCATGCCTGAACAACTACCTTTTAAGGAAGCAGGAGGAGAAAGTAAGTATAGTATCTGACATCCGAATACAAGCATTTCTGACAGACATGCTCCTTATTTAACAAGAGCTCACAGGCCTAGACTCAGCCTCTCATCCACATACCACATCCCCTCCCTGTCTGGTCACATTGCTCCAGGGTCAGCTGAAAACACCACCTCCAATCTGTTAATAAAGTGATATGATTCAGCATCTGCAATTCATTTATTCAAAAGAACCATGCAATGTTCAAACAATGTATAGTTTATAAAGTGAAGTTGTCAAATCTCATGGTTAGAAGGATTACTGACTGATTGTGGGATCTTAGACAATACATACAACCTTTTACAGTATTTGCGACTTCTTCTTTAAGGAGTATTTTTCTCTCTGGACCATTTGGTACCCTAAGTTTTATTAAATATGTAAGTAATGGGTTAGCTGGTAAAGTGAGAAGCTATCCTATACTGAAAAATTCTAGGAGCATGATTAGATATGTTGTTTTGTTTTGTTTTGTTTTGTTTTGTTTTTATTAAAGATACAATGATTGTAAAATGCTTGTCAAAAGATGTCAACATTTGTTAGTACTAATAAAGACATGGACACATATGAATGAATTAAAGTATCAGATATGACACATAATTTTGACCAAGAGCCAGTTAAACAGTGTATACGAAGCACCTTCCGAATGTAACCCTGCAGGGTACTGACTACCCTTCACAGGTGAAGAGACAATCTCATGCCTAAGTCATCACTAGTATATGATGTACCACAACAGGTACTGGACTGTGGACATAAAGACCAGGCAGATGAGAACAAGTAGAAACCACTGAAACCACTCAGAACTCGGTGTTTGAAGGGAATCGGGCACCCTCACTCATGGCAGGCAAGGGTGTGGGAAAGCTTTAATAGTGAAATGAAGCAAGAGCTCCAAGTCCATGCGGACTGGAAATTGGTGCAAGGGAAGCTGGAGACAGGCTATTTAGATCTGGGAAATCTGGGACTGTTTTAGGGAGCATACTTGACTTTCTCTGGTTGGCCCTAAGGTGGAAATGGTGGCAAGAATTAGGAAATCTGAAAGCTGCTGATCAAGTCCTGGCAGTTTAGGGCCTGTCACTGCGGAGGATGGGGGTCAGCTTCCTGGTGGGTCAGAGCTCTATGTTTGTATATGGCCTGGCCTTCATTCTCAGAACCCAGTCCTTGTGATTTGCAAGTCTGCAATTTCTTCTTCCTGCTGCCCTGCCAGGAATGCAGCAGGCTCCAGTCACACTCAACAGAACTGGCTATACTTAGAAACGGGTAATTGGATGTTTGTCTCCACCTGGTTTACTTTCGTCTGCCAATGTTACTGTCTATAATGGATACTTGACTGGCATTTATCTTGCACTAGGAAATTCCTTGTTCTTTCCCCAGTATTTTAGAGTCTCAGGTTTCAACCTGCTATTCCTCATGTTGTTACAGAACCAGACTGCAGAGGCCATCCAGAAAGCTAGAGGGGACCTTGAAGTCTACAAAGAGCACCATGACAACTTGCTGGCAGAAGACAAAGTGAGGGCCAGGGTCTTATACACTCACCAGTGCCACTGAGTTGCTGCTGCCTAGATTGGGGGACGGGAAAAGGAGTATAATTTAATTTCTTCATATTTTTCTCCTATTATAACTCCCAGGAAGGGGGAACTTCATTACATGCCAATTTTTATATCTGAAAATCACTGTATAAAATTCATGTTTGTAAACTACTCTAATTTAAGATTTCTCTTGTGCAAAAAACAGAGTGAGATCTTCTCTAGGGCTTTTTGAATTTCAGGTTACAGGCCTCACTTGTTGGTCATGAAGCCAATTCAATGGGCTATGACAAGCACCTTTATAATGGAAAAGAACAGGCAGACAGCCTTGAAGAAGAATGGAATGGAACAGAAACTTCAGTTCTAAATGATTTCTGTGACTGGTTATAGGAATTAACTTTTCTAATTCACTCAGGTGAATTCCTGTTCAGTATAAATCAGTGAGTGGTTGCCCTCTAACAAGTTTACCTAAGAAACCAAGTTTCCATGGAGTTTTAACATCAAAGTGATACAACTAACTCTATTTTGTCTTTTGAAGAGGTTATGAAACAAATGAAATGTTTCTGCACAAAACAAATTACAACCCTGGCATTATATATCTGTCCTTAGGTTCTGGATCGAAGCTTTAAAAAGGAATTTTCTGAAATTTCCAGTCATCAAGTGGAAGTACTCTACAAGCTTTTTAAACGCAGACCAAGGTTTGTTCCTCTTTTGTTTCTGGGGGCAAGAGAAGTTTGTAAATGAAAAGGAGTGTTATTCAATTTAATCTCTTTCTGCCAATCATGGGAATATTGAATGTAACATCTTTTATGTGGATATGTTTGAGAATTATGATCATAACTCAGAATTTTTTAAGATTATTCTCACATATTAAGGTAGACCATGAAGAATATGAGTTCATTATTTTAGAAGTTATATATCTAGATAGCATGGTGCTCTATTTTAAATATGAAAGCAGTTCATCATCATTCAGAGATGGCAAACAAAGATGTATTCCAGCAAACATGAGTCCCTTGTGTGGAAAATTGGAATTACACACAAGAGGTTTCCAGGACTTAGTAAGTTTGGGGAGATACTGGGTTCTTAAAAGAAGTTAAACAGCTTTCTTTACTGACAGGTTCTCTACCCAACATGTGTTTTGGCCTTTGGCTCTCCAAACATAACAAACAGAATAAGTGGTATTTTCCAAACTTATTTGACCACAAGCCCCTTTTCCTGAGTGCATCTCATCTGATTATATACAATTTTTAAAAATGCCAGTATAAGTAGTTGAAAATAACCATCAAACAGGCTATATACATTTCTGATTTTTAAACTGAAAGTAGCATTAGAATTGTACTTTGCTGGTTTCCTTTTTTTTTTTTTTAAATTGAGATTTCCATAATTATCAATCAAACATCATTTAGAACTCATGGAGTTTGGCATAAAAGGATAGGCTCAATTGTGTCTGAAGTACAGACTCATTCTCTTACCGTTGACAGGTTACATATAACCTAGGGATTCAATGTAGAATTCATTTCTTGGTTTTCCTATCTTTAAAGGGCTGAGTCATGACAGCCAAATACATTTCCTTTCCTTGTGAAGAAAGAAGCAAGACCTCCCATATATTGGGAGAAAGCAGCGGCGATAACACAGGCTTTGTTTTGGTTCTAAATCTTATTAAACCCATGGGGTTGAGCCAATAGCTTTTCCGAAAGCCTCATATTCCTCTTCTGAGAAAAAGGCTAACAATGCTAACTTTTTTAGCATACAGTGTGCTGTATGTAAAGCATCTTGATTGTGAGTGCCTGGCACAGATCTTTGTAACCTTCTCTCCCCACCCTCAGTCCAGGGAAACAAAACTAACCTACAAATGTGGGTTTAAAGAGGCACTTCTCCAACTGGGCATATATCTGAACATATTTCAGATTATTACATGCAGACAGCATATCAGGAGAGGATATGGCTCCATCAGGGATGTACCAGGAAGTGTCCACAAGTCTGATGGGCATTTACTTACCTGCTTAAAATACACACACTTTCTACTCCAAGTAAAGCTGACAACAGCTAGGGACAGCTATAGTCCAGCCAAGTCAATGCCTGGAGATCAAGAGAATATGGAGGAAAGTCAAAGTGTTGCTGTTCTCTTTGGAATCATCCATCCCCTCCCCGAACGCCCCCAGCCTCAAGTGCCAAAGGAATTGTCAAGCAATGTCATACCTGTGCTAGTGGATTTTATTATTTAACTTTGATGTTATGTGTGTGCGAGAATGTGAAAGGTTGATGGACTTTTATTGGTAATACCAGGATTCACAAACCGAAAGTGCACTCAGATACAACCTCTATTAATCCTTTTGGAGAGCGACCAGGATCTGGGAAATTGAATAAGGAAGCCTTTGCCCAGTTAATGAGAGCCATGGATGAATTCGACAATGTTAATAACATGCCAGAAGGCTTGGACCCCTTGGTCTGGGAACATTTCTGCATGATCAGACGAACGAAAGTGGAGAATGAATACAAAGTATATAACCACATTTTACATTATTTATCTTATTTCATGGTGGTCACTGCTTCCAAAAGAGCTGTCAATTGTTTATACTTTCCTGCTAAGCTAGTAGTAATTAATATGATGATAATGATGAAGTAAAGTATTAAGCTCAGTGTTTTTGAGGGCTAAGATTAGACCTGAGCCTGCAGACCCATGCTGTCCTAAAAGGGGACCCCAGCCATGTGTAATTACAGTTTACTTGAAATAATGTGGCCAGACCTAATTGAGACCTCCTTTAAGTGGAAAATACACAGTTTTAGAGGCATAGGTATATTTAAAAAAAATGTTTTTATACTCAGTGCAGTTTGAAAATATCAAATTTGGGGATATACTTTAGTAAAATTATTTTCACCTCTTTCATTTCCAGCTACTTCACTTTTTGCAGTGGGGCTACTACAAAAATTAAAATTACCTATGTGGCCCACATCTGTGGATCCCATTATATTTCTTTGGACACACCACTGTAGACACAACTTTCCTTCTCCTCTCTGCCCTGTTTTCCAGTTGGCTTCATCTCTTTTTGCATAGGTTAAAATTATATTTCACCAGAACCAATTTTATAGTTTTGCTGCAATATTTTTTCATGTAGCAAAAGGTAACAATTTGAGAGTGTTTCATTGAGAGGAGAATTCTTTTGTTACTTCTTTAACACCTTTGCCTCCTCTCCCCCAAGCTTCCCTGAGGACCACAAACATCAGGCTCCTATAGTTTTGCTAAAGATATATGATTTTATAATTTTATCTAAGATGAGAACAATTTTTAAAATAAAAAATTTCAGCAGCTTGTATATTTCATTTTCAGCAAGAAGCAAATCTTATAGTTTTCAAATTATTCATGGAATGTACCATGCAAGATTTAAATATCTTTCAACTATATACATAATGGCAAGGATTTAAACTTGTATTAATCTTAGGTGGGTTTAAGGTTTTGTACCAAAGTTAAAAGTTGTACGTTTCTAAGGTTCTTAATATTAGTTTGCTTTTATAGCTAAAGCTCAGTGTGTGTGGTTTGGTTTCTTCAGGTAAAACAGAAAGCAGCTGGCTTAATGGAAATGGTGGCTTTTCTGAAGAAGAGAATTGAGGATGACGAGAAGGTGCAGCAGGACATTGACAAAGTGGTCCATGAGTTCATCGTGTAATTTGAATGTTCATATATTCAGAATTTTAGCTGGGACTTAGTTTTTGTTATCTTTGGGGGAAAGTGCCCATATGCTGCATTGCTGCTGGCACAGACAGATCTCGTTGGGGTTTCTACCTTTCTCATTACATAAGCCTTTATTTCAGGACCGAACTTATCCACATGCTCCATTACTTTTATTACAAAGAGCAACGTTTGGGGAAACCTTAGCTTTGTTTTATTGTGCTCCTTCCCTATAAAAATACAAAGGCTTTGCTTCTTCTAGTAAATACTTTGGGACTCATCACACAAGCAAACTACAGAAAATTGAACAGGTATCCAAGAAATGTTGATATAGAAACCTAACCAGCTAATAACCTCTCTCTTAAAGGAGTCTGTATTTTTTTCAGAGTGATAGGGACACAATTTCATGTCCTAGTTCCACTCTTCGTCATATTCATAGTCACTATGCTCTTTCTCTGATGAAATTCATCATTATACATCATTTTCATACCTAGGCTATAGGTAGGAATACAAGCTACACAGACAGGTTTGATAAGCAGCATACAATGATCTGTTAATATAGTATCAGAAGTACATAATACATAAGGTCAGAACCTGGACAATTATTAATTCCTTCTTGAATTATAATCAAAATAATATTCATCATAAAGTAAAACTTCATGAATGTGTTTCTGATGCCCCATTTATTGAACAGTCCAAATGTAATCCATGCCAAAAGTTTCTTAGAGACCTCCTAAAAGCTCATCATTGGGGAAGTAATTTCCATGTTAATCTCCAGCATATTTTCCTTCAGTTTAAGGAAAATTAAGCTGAATTTTATATTCTCAAGTAGGGTATTACAGCTCCTTACTTTGAAGTCTTTTTCAACTTAGATTACAGGAAGAAAAAGCGAGATACCAGTTGAATTTGACAGTCCAGATTCTCCTTAAACAAGGACAAATAGAAGTGGAAAATTTCCAGTTATTGCTGGACTATTCTGATGCAATTCTTATCAACAAAAACATAATTGAGGACTTGAATTCTGTGATTCGGGTAATTATCATTTTTTTGGGAAAAACTTGACATCAAATATGCTTCATTATTCTCCCATTTCTAAGATAAATCATTTTTATTCCATAGTCTGTGTTTTCTAACTTCACATTAAAATCACCTGAAGCACATTACAGACGTTTTCTGACCCATCCGCCCCTCACCTCAGCTATGGTTATTATTTTTTTAAGCTTTCCAGATAATCCTAAGGTACAAGAAATTCAGGAATATGGAGTTAAATGTTCATTCTAATATAACATCATTTTGAAAGGTTCAATCTACTTACCAAATGATAATCTTAAATAAGCTTGGGTAAATGACTTCAAACCTTGCTTGTTTTCTAAGGTAAACATGTCATGTTCATAAGTTTCCCTGGAAGCACTATTTTAGCTTCAGTCTTCAAATTGTGATATTTTATGTTGATTTTCTTTCCACTTAAAATAGTTTCTCATTTCCATTTTAACTTCTTATGTAACTCATGGATTCTTTAGAAGTGCTATTTATTTTCTATTTGGATATTTTGTGTTAATGTTGGACTAAACCCACGACACATTACTAATACTTTTTCTTTTGATTAGTATTTAAATTAGATTTATTAGATTTAAATCTAATCTTTAAATTAGTTTTTAGATAAAAAAAGGTTTGTTGCCCTTCATTTTCACTATTTCAAGGTCTTTATGTGAATCAAAGTTTCTGTCTTGCATCATATACTTTGTATGAAGCATTTCTTTTAAGTGGACTGCAAGCCCACTGGTGATGAGTGCTCTCATCTTCTGTCTGAAACTGCCAGATTCACCTTTGTTGCTGAAAGGCAGTTAGCTGGGGTGCATGGAATCAGGTTCTCAAGCATTCTTTTGCTTTGTTTTCTGCCCTGGGATGGGGGTGGTAGGTGTTCTGAGTATCTCAATCTCAGCTTCGAGTTGAAGTTTCTTCCCCAAGGAGACCCAGGTCCTGACCCGTTTCTGCCTACCAACTCAGGCTCCAGCTGTTCTATATTGAGAACTTCAGACTCAAGCCAGTAACCCTGCTCTGCGCCCTGACCCCTACAGTATACCCTTCCGTGTGGGTGCCAACTTTCATACGTCTTACTGTTCAGTACCAGGCCCCTGGAGTCCCTGATGTTGCCTGTGCCCAAGTCAACAGCTGCAGGGGTTCTGCACAGGTTGCCCCCTCAATTATGGGTCGTATGTAACCCTGCTAGCTCTATAAGCAAAGTTCACTTCAGTGGCCTACCGCATCCTAGCTGGCAATTGCTCGTACAGTCACCCTTTGTTCCCTCAGCTTTTTTGGCTTTGTTTTACTGCAATTTAGCTGTATCTGGAGATGAATCTGGCACCTTCACCCTGCCAACATATTGCTGGAGTCCCTGTTGCCATTTTTGGAAAATTCTTGGTAACTGTCTTTTCAAAAAACATTTTTTGCCATGTTCTCTTTTCCTGCTGGGAGTTCAACTGTACCCATCTTAGATTGTTTGGTACTGTTTCACATCTCTTGGATGCGACTTTGTATTTCAGTGTTGTTTTTTTTTTTTTTTTAAATTGATCTATCTTTAGGAGCATTAGTTCTTCATCTATGACTAGTCTAGTGATGAAGCCATCAGAGGCATTGTTAACTTATCACCTTATTAATTTTATATTCCTAGCACTTCTATTTAAATCTTATAGTTTCTATTTCTCTGCTGAAATTCCCCAGGTGTTCATGTATGTTGCCCTCTTTTTGTTTTTAACATGGCAGTCATTTTAGTAAATGAAATTACTTTTACAGTAATTTTAAACTTACAGTAAAGCTATGAAGGTTGGGGGACCAGTCCCAGGCCAGGCAGGTTCACAGTCAATTCAGGCAAATGGAAACTCATCTTGGAGCCTTTGGTAGACTTGACAGACCTTTAATGCTGAAGCAGGGGACCAGATACAGGCAGACCAGCAGACTGGGAAGCAGCAGGCAGCATACAGAGCCTCCCAGACTGGTCTCCACGATCTTTAAGCGCTCTCCCGGGCTCCTCTTCTCTCTTCCTTAGCTCTGCTTTTTGAAAACGTCCTGGTGTCCATGTTTATATATGCACACATCTGGTGCTCGCTGGCCTCCCCATCTGTAATCATAGGGGTGCATGCCCCATGATCTTGCTCCCAAGCACTTTCTGCATTAACATGGTAGCACTTGCAGGTAATGCAACCTGGGAGGAAAACAAAGTGCAGGTGGTAGCCACAGAGGCTGGGAAGAAGGGAAAAGCCTGAGCTATGCCATGACCCCTATTAAGATAGTTCAGCCAGTTTCCTCTACTGTTAGCATTTCTGTCACTTCCATGGTTATCCTGAGGGTTATAATTGCCATCTTAGTTATATAATAAATTAATGTTAACTCATGGAACTCTAGTACAGATTTATTTTAGTGGCACAGTGGTTTCACTACTAGCAACCTGAGAGAACTTTATTAAAATATTTCTGAACTTTATTATATAGACAATTTGAAGTGAAATGCAAGACACGTAGGAGATTAAATTATCATGTTTAACCCTTTCAGTTTGTTTGTTTGTTTTTTCACTCCCAATCAACCTCATGCTTGGTGCTATTGTGCTTCACTATATTATAGTCCTTTATTTATAGCATCAGGAAGCAGCGTAGAAATTATGGGTAATGACAAAAGGAGTTACTGCCTAACACTGGCATACAAAGTGGCTTTGCCACTCAGCTATATCCTACAGAGCCCTTTTTTTAGCAGCCATCTGCTTTGTAGTGGTCAGGTTTTGCCAAGAGTAATTTTTGAAAAGCATTATTCTATACGTTTTATACTCTGTACGTAGCATTGCATAAATATCAGAATATGCTTTTTTAAAGACTCAAGGACAAAAGAAAGTCGCTAGCATGATGGAAAGTAAAAATGTGCACAAAGGAATATTTCAGATTGAGTGGGAACATAAGAAAATGGAGATGGAAATGGAAGATCTGAATCAGAAGGCTTGGGATATTCAGACACTGTTTTTCTCAAGAGATCGTCAAAAGGTAAGTTCTTCCTTACTAGCCCCCCATACAATTTTAACTTCACTCACTAATGTATTTCTTAATTCAAATGTACTTAATAAGAAGCCTTTGTGATATAAAGCATATTCTAAGCCAGTAGTATTTCATAATGTACTAAGACTTCTTTTCTTCCAGTATTTTACATTTACTATCCCCATTCTCTGTCAGCCCTTCAACAAGTAATTCTCAAGGACTTCAAATTGTCAAATCCAGAGGTCTCTTCCCCTTCTACTCGCTATAGCATTTGACCTTCATCATTATCTATCCCCTTAACTGTTACCCTCCCTGTTTTCTCCCATTCTTTGCTGATTTCTCTTCTGCTTTTAAATACAACAATTCTTTAAGGTTCTGCCCTCAGCACTGGTATTTTCTTCCATGGGTGGTTCTTTGAATGATCACTTCTCACTTCAATGATCATTTCTACAAAACTAATCCAAGTTATCTGGATTCCAATCTAATTTTAACAGAAACTCAACTGGCCTTGACCTCCTTCAAACTCTGTATTTTCTACCTTCTAACAACTTAATCCTTTTAATTTACTTATCTTCTTTTCATCCTCTCACTCAAGCCAGAAGTTGAAGTTCTCTTTGATTCTGCTTTTTAGTGTCCACTCCAAGTACTGCCTCGTTTGTCTGTTTATTCCCTCATTCTCTATCCTGGCTGCCTTTACACTTGTTCAGTCCTTTACTTTCTGTGGTTTACACTATTTTATAATAACCTCATAACTGGTATCTTTACATTGAAATTTTTTTTATCTAATTTACGCTATGCACTGCCATCAGGTCAATATTCCTATTCAGTACTGAATAAGTTTACTATTCTGCTACTTCATCCCTGGTAAGTGAATTATGAAATCCTTAATGAACAATGGTCTTCAATCTAACTTCTGGAATTCATTCCTGATGTTCCTTCCTCACATACAAAAGTAACCTCAGGGCCCTCCCTGGTGGTGCAGAGGGTTAAGCACAGCACTAAGAAGCTAAAGCCACTGCAGCATGACTTCAATCCCCAACCCTGGAGGTGACCCATATGGCACAGCAGACCTCTCCTGATCTACCCGCTGCTCCCTCAGCAATGTACTCCATTAGTTGGCCTGTTCTGCTCCCCACTCTGTCTCTGGTGAATCCTCTCACCGCCCCTGCACCTCTGGCCTGTACCCCAGTTCTGTATGCACAAATAAATAAATCTTTAAAAAAAAAAAGTAATCTCAAACCCAACTCATTATTATTTTCTAGAATTCTACCTCTAAGCCTGTCTTATTCATTATTCTCCCTTTTCCTCCCCTTTTCCCAATTCCGCTTTTCAAAGTCTAATTTAAATGCTTTTGATTTTCCAATCTTGAGAAACCACATTTCATCTTAAAACACCTTTGAATTTGCACATCTCTTTAACTTCAGACAACTAACCATATCTCCGCGTTCTCTTTCTCAAAGGCTATGCCATACTGCCAATCTTTGGATATAATGTCTTTAACTAGGATTCTATTAATTTAGGAATCTAATGAGACACTTTATATTTGGCAAGTTGAAGAAATGCATGAGAAAATAAATTCTAGACATTTGTAATTATTAGTATGTCAAGTAAATATCATGGTACAAATGTCAAATCAACCTTAGGTGTTTTAACTGAAAAATGGTAACTTTCAAAGCTAAAATAATCTTGATAAAGTTGTTATTGGAATTAAATAAAAATATCCTTACTATGTTGTGTTTTTTTCTAAGTATCTAAATGAACCAAACTACGAGACTCTGATTGCCATTCAGATTGGAATAATGGAGCAAACTATTGCTGTTTTAGAAAAGGTAGGCCTCAAAGATATTGAACACTAAGTCTAAGAGCAGATCCATCTTGCCTGCTGCTCCCCTCAGCAGTGTATTTCAGTAGATCTGCCTGTTCTGCTCCCCACTCTGGTGAACCCTCTCACCCCCAGCACCTCTGGCCTACACCCAGGTTTTTCTATGCACAAATAAATAGAAATCTTAAAAAAATAATAATACATACAATAAGGTATTCTGAGAGAGGAAAGACCACATTCAGATAACTTTTATGACATTTATATTTTAAGTTTTCTATTTTATCGTTTCTCTCACTATACTTAAAATTGTAAATTAAACTTTATCATAAGTATTTATGTATAGGGAAAACACAGTATATGTAGGGTTCAATACTGAAACCAAAAATGGTTTTACATATCCATTGGGTGTCTTGGAATATGGATAAAAGGTGACCACTATATCATTTTCTCTTTCTACAAATAATTTAAGTATACTGCCTACTAAGTATACAGGCATGATGCTAGGGATATGACGATAATATCTTAATTAAAAATTTAAGAATGTCTTTAGAATAATTGTAATATATCATTTTTAATTATTTTTGTGGGGTTTTATTGGGAAAATATTTCAGACCCACAAAAAGAATGTGGAAAATTGTAAAAAATTACTAAAAAAACTGGAAAATTTCAGTAATCAAAAAGATATAGCAAATTATCATCTAAGTTGCAATTTGCGAGAAGAGTTGGTGGCTGTCTCGGAGAGAAAAGACATCTGTGATGCAATGGGTAAGTTTTTTTTCTTTGGTCAACTGTGGTTTTTCTAAAAGTAATCATTATTCCTAAAGTTGGTACTGTAGTTATAAACCTGCCACCATACCATGTTTAATTGATTCTGAGTGATATTTTAGTTTTTCAAAGTTTAGGTAATTATTCAACTAATCCTTTTCATCTTCATTTTTGGGAAAGGGTCTACACTGACTTGTGAAAAGATTGCCAAAGAACGATATGAAAACATGATGCAACAACAAAAGTTAACACATATTTCAAAAGAACAAGCTGAACAGATTTCAATACTGCAGGCTGAAGTTGAAAGACTGAGAATGAAAACATTTCCTGCTCTTGTTCAAATGTAAAAATGCTGATGAGGAAATACCAGACCAAATCAACATTTGAAAAAATATTTGCACAGATTAAAATTATTTTTCCCTTTCACAACAAGAAATTTTAGTAGAACTTCATCTTAGTTATAATTATTTTATTTTAGTCTTAACCATTATAAAAATATTAGTGCTGCATGAATAAATGTATCAAATATCATGAATTGTTTTTATTGACGAATGAACAAGATTATAAGTCAGAATGTGCTCCAGATCTATTTTATTCTTAGTCTTAATTGGTTTTAAATGTATTGGTGCTTAAATGTATAAGCACCCTTAGATTAAGCCATCAGCAAAGACATTCTGGTGAAAAAAATGAATCAAACGTCTATAAATTCCTCTTCGTTTCTATTATAGTGTAGCAGCTTATCATCTAACCCATAAAAATCTATCAATTCAGTAAGACTTAGCTTCTTGTTCTCCTCAGAGAGAGCAGACTGCAGTTCATAAAGCAACAGCTGGCTACAGCGTCTCCACTTCTTTATTAAGGACTGCAACTGAGATAGGTCATTCTGAAACAGGGAAAAAAATAAACATACGTCAGTAACTAGATAAATATTCATTCTATTTTAACAGATGTAGAAATTATGCATTGTTAACTCAATGATCAGGTTTAAAGGGTGACAACACTTACAGGCCAATGAGACTTCTACTACGGAAAAGTAGGATAGTTTTAAATATAGAATGGCTACAATTATTACTCAAGTTCAATTCTGTGGCTATTTCACTTGGTTCCAGCTGTAAGCAACTCTTAACCCCAGAGAGAAATCAAATCATTAAGTAGGGCAAGCTATCGATATTTAGGGAACAAAACAGGTAAAATGAATAACACAGATAAAATTTTCTATTATAGCTGTACTTTTAAAAATGACACTGATCAAAATATTTTAAAATATTCATTATCATAGACTCAAGTAGTTATATTTAGAAAAACCCTAAAAATTCAAGAGTGCAAAAGATATTTAGTGTTACCATTTGTTCCACATTGCTGGGAAAGAAAGAGCAATTGCAAATACATGAATGATCCAGGTAAACAAAAAGCTTGTCTTTTTACCAGTGTCCAAGTTCTATGTAGTTCAGCCTCTCTGGCCTGAAATCTAAGATATAATAGTTGTTTTCCCCAAAACACCTGTACTCTCATAATAATTTGGGAGGCACACAGGAGTAACACTAAAAATACTTTTTAATTTACTCAGTGACCAATTTTTATCTTTTTTACAAACCATGCATTGGCAACTTCTATTCTCATTATACCTGTACTTAACTCTTGATATTTCTAACAGTGATAGGGGCTGAAAATAAGAGAAAAGCTTCAGCTGCATATTAAATGAGAGTTGGGACATTTACAAAGTTCTATCTGGTGTTTAGAGGCCTGTTCTATGCCACTCAGTCTTAATATATGAATTAAAGCTGCTGGAAGTCAGGTTTCTGGATTATTGATTTACTGCTCGTTATGCTAAAATGTATTTTCTATAGTTGAGATCATTTCCTCATCTTTCTACAAGTAAAAAAATAATGGTTCTTAAGTCTCACCTTTGATCTATACATTTTGACTAACTTCAGTCTCCGAAGGAGGTCTTCTTTCTCCTGAATCTGTTTCATCAATTTTACCTTTTCTTCATTTAATCCTTGTTTGGGAATATTCTCATTCACCAAATCAGTTTGGAGATCACTGCATGACCCAGTACCAAGTGATTTAGACTCATATGCATTAATATCCTTCAAAGTATTTTTTAAATATGTACTTTCTTCAAGTTCACTGTCCATATGTTTAAAATTTTCTGAAAATTCCAAGTGGTTTTCTTTTGTTGAAGATGTTTGCTTTTCTGAAAAGGTCTGATCATTCTCTTCATCCTCTACTTTAAGACGTTTAACCACACTGTAACAGGAATTAAATGAAGATCTTGTTTTCCTTAATCGTTCTTTTAGTGTTGCACTCATAGGCTAAAAAGGGTACAAAACATTAATAAATGTACAACCAAGAAAAGTATTATTGCAAATAAATAAATTCATTAGAAATGTACCAGACCAGAACATTTATTTCTATGATAGACTAGAAGCTTTCTGTCTTCATATGTCAAGGAAAATGTCTTTATTTCCTGGAAGTTCCCAGTTAAATTCTCTTTTTATTTTAGCAAAATTAGCACCCTTTAAAAATAATGTTGAGACAATTATCCCTGTAACCACAATTCTGCAACTAGCACATACAGACACTACTCTAGGTTCTTCAGAATTACAAATCATGGAAAAGACCTAGGCCGTGCCATTAAAGATCTTCAGAACATTGCATACTTCTTCAATTTGGATGCTTTAATAAACTGATGTGAAACTAAATGAAAATTCAAGATGACAATTTGGATGAAGGACAGGACAGCTAAGGAGAATGACCTAAAATTACTATTTAATACTTATTATTGCAGCACAGTGAAAACGACTATTGCACAGTATCTAAAATACAGAGTAGGCCCACTGGGAGAACTACAATTTTCATACTTGTTTTCTTGAACTACTTGCATGGGGAGATGGTGACCTGGCACTGGCCTGTGGCGTGCTTGGTAAAATCACAGCTGAGTCTGATGGACTTTCCATCTTGAAAATGGAATCTTGGTTTGCCTCTAAAAAAATAATCATAAGATGGAAACCAATTAACCCACACCGCTAGCGAATATCAAGAGTTCTTCAGTGTGCCTAACAGTCATCAACCTTTCACTTAATTTAGACATTTATTCTTGCTTTTTTTGCAGTTGTCTTCCTAAATAAGACTTTGTGACTGAGTTTTACGTGAGAAATTAACTAGCCTATCAGAGAAACAAGGTTCTCCGCTTGCTTTTAATATAAATATCCTCAGAATCTGCTATATAGAGGGAAAATAACCGTGGAGGCGGAAACTCTTTAATTTCTTTTTGCCAGTTTCATAATGAAAGGAATATTCAGAGTGATCTTAAAACAAAAACCAGTCACTCTAACCCTTAAAACTGTGTGACTACTACCGAACTCTCCTGAAAAATGATTCCTACCGAAGAGGGTAAAAGGAATACAAAAGCAGAGGAATGCATGCGTACTGGGGTCACGTTACTAGCGAAAGACCCTGACAAGGGGCATTCCGACTCAACTTTGTTTTTCCTCTGAACAAAAACATTTTCAGGGGCAAATCCAGTGGGTGTGGGGGTGGGGGGTGGAGCCCTCTGGGTATCCTCCCGCCCACCTTTGCAGAAAGCCCAACTAGCCCTCGGGACTCCATGCCTGAGAGGGGGTTGAGCGGTCCCCTCAGCACTGACGGGAACGCCACTTGACTCCCCGAACCCCACGAAGTAAATCCAGCTCGCCGATACCCATGAGCCGCCCAATACACTACCTCCTCCCTCAGCATCCCAGAGCGAAAACACCGCGCGCGGTGCCACAGAGAAGGCGGAAGAGACACGCGATTGGTCCGATTAACTGACGCAGGCTGTTGGCACTGTCCTGCGCCCGAAAGCTGACGTACAGTGCGCGCCGCCGCGAGCGTCCAAAAAAGGGGAAAGGGAGGCGGGGCCAGGCGGGCGACTGCAGAGACGAGTGATTGGCCAGGTTGACTGACGCGTTAGGCTCCGCCCAACGCCCGAGAGCGCCTGCGCGCCTGGGGCTGGAGCGGGTCTGGCGGGGCCTGCCGGGGCCTGTCTGGGCGTCGGCGACGGGAGGGGCAGTGCTACGGTCCCACTGATCCAACGCGAGGGGTGTATGATTCCCGCTGCTTCCTCTCCCGCCCTTTTCGAGGCTTCCAAGTTTTGTGTTTGTGAAGTTCGCCTGAAAATATACTTCCCATTCTGCTCGCTTCCGCTAGTCTCATCCTCTCGCTCAGCGCAGCCAAACGACTTGCTCAGAATTGACGCTACCCAAAGCCACAGAGCTTGGCGTTCAGTTTACGGTTTATAAACTCTCCAGAGAGCAGCTCTGGGTTAAAAACCTTTTTGAGAATTCAGCGCGCTGTAAATCACGCCAAGAGCCCCATCGGATGTAGTTGAGCTCATTTCTAGCCTCTGCTGCTGTGGACTGAGCGTCCCTCAGGATTTCTACCGAATCTACCTAAAAATTTAGATTCCTTAGCTTGGCTTTAAATTTTTTACCCAAAACTGAGAGAAAATGCAGCCCGGTGAAGATGTTTGTGGTGCCTACAGGAAACAGAGCAAACACTGAGGGAGATTGTGCCGTTCCAGAATTCAGACAGAAAGCCAAGGGCTCTGCTGAAGATGAGGCGGCCATTTCTGAGTCTTCTAAAACAGCCCTCTTGGTTTCCAGCCTGCGATGTTCTGTTGCCGTGCAACAGCAATTTAACAAAGTCGGGTGGGGCGCTGGGTTCAGGGAACGAGTCAGTCATTTCTGAGTCACCTGGAAGTTGGGGGTTTTAAGGGGTCAGTGCTTCCATTCCTAATGAATGGCCATTTTAAACGTTGACACTTTACTAACATCTGAAAGTAGTAATTTAGAAGTAACCAGGACCCAGGAGGAATTAGCTAAAATCCTAAAGAGACATAAGTACATAACCTGACGACAAACTAGGGGACATAAATTGGGGATCAAATTGTCTGGATTCAAATCCTGGCCCCATTACTCATGTGCTTTATAGTCGAGTGTTTCTGTGCCTCAGTTTCCTCATCTGTAAAGTAGAGATAACATGTTTCCCTGGGAATACAGGGCTAAATGAGAATTCATTCATGTCAGGCAGAACAACAGTGGGTATCTAGGAAGCACTCCATAATTATGTAAGGTCTGTGAACAATATTCACTATACCCTACTTGATTTAAAGGAATAATGCACTTAATTCTTTCACCTCTTCACTTATCTCCCCATGAGGGGAGGGGAGGAGGAAAAAAATGCCACAGATTTTTTTTTAAAGAAACTGTAATGTGAGATCCATCATCGTTTTAGACAAAAACAGTAGAAAACTTGGATTTTTTTTTAAATAAACAGTAGAAAACTTGGATTTTTTTAAAAATAGTAACCTACAGCTCACCTTACAACTTTTTTCCTTTTTTTTTAATTATTACAAAAGTTTATTTTTACATCATTTTGCACATTTTTTTTCCCATCTCGATTGTAATCCCCGCAGGTTTCCCATTACCAAATCACCCGTGTGCCACCACCATAGTCCCGTGCATTTCCCTCTCTTATCTCCCCCACCCCCGTTTTTGATCCCATTCCCCACTCCACCCCCACAAAATGTCTCTGGTATATGGTTGTTCATTAGTTTTGTTATTTTCTCGCCTGATCCATTATACTCCTGCTATGAGTGAAACCATCCGGTATTTTTCTTTCTCTTTCTGGCTTATCTCACTAAGCATGATCTTTTCCAGCTCCATCCAAGTTGCTGCAAAAGACATGTGTTTCTCTTTTTTGGTTGCTGAGTAATATTCCATTGTATATATGTACCACATCTTTCTAATCCAGTCATCTACTTTTGGGCGTTTGGGCTGCTTCCATGTTTTTCCAATTGTAAATAAAGCAGCAGTAAACATGGGGGTACAAGTATCTTTTTCAATCAGTGTTTTTGTGTCTTTTGGGTAGATACCTAGGAGTGGGATTGCTGGGTGGTAGGGAAGCTCCATGTTTAGCAGTTTAAGGAACCTCCAAACAGAAAACTTGGATTCTTTACCTATAAGTAATAATATGCATTCCATATACCTCAAGGAATCTAAAAATAAAGACAGGGCTCCTGACTTCTTGATACATGTTATTCACTTCACAATGCCACAGGACTGTATATTAATTTCTCCTTTTAATCTTCTGTTGGAATCACTAGAAGCCCAATGCAGATGCTACATATATTTTATACCATGGGGCATAAGTTTGGGCTGTTTTATAATTCCCTAAAATCAGCTGCTCCAAAATCCTTTTATCATTACAACCTAAGCTTAGAGCTATGTTTTTGCTGGCTGTATAAAGTAAAACAACATCTTGTCTTACAAATGTTCTGATTTGCAAATTATATGAACTGTTATATTAAAATGGGATGTTTTTGGCTGGATTTTAAAAGAACTTCAGAATAAATACTGGGAAAAACTTGTATTTTAGAAATGTGCATTTATTGACCTACATCTCTGACTTCCAAGTGTTGTTAGATTCGAATGATCTTCCCATATATAATTTGCATTTTACTTACTCCAATCACATACCAGAATGAAAACATACCTTTCACTAATGTAAGGGGTCTGGAACATAGTTCCTATTGCTTTTATTATATGTTTAGCTAAAGCCTAGCAAACCTTTCTGTCTTCTAAGAAGTTCATTGACCTAAAAGAAGTTTGATGTTTCTAACACAGGACTTTGAATGTTTCATATAAATTTTTCAGGCAAGAAAGAAGAGTGCCCCAGAGGGCCAGAAGGAAAGGAATCCTTACCCCATCATACAAAACTATTTGAGCACTGAAATTCAATGAAAACAATAATTAATATCAATCTAAGGCAGGCTTTCTCTGTGTGTTTTTAAATTTCTTCTATGCCCAAGGCTCATGTTGGCCCCTTTGTTATGCAGGGAGTGGTAAAATACCTCATCCATTCTTGTCTGTGATTATTGTTGTGGGATGATGACATAGACTTAAAAATCTTTATGAGGCTTTCCTTTTTAGTAGCTGGAAGAGAAAAGTCAATGGTGTCTCTGTATACACACACATACTCTCTCTCTTAGGCCACAATTTAAAGTTTCATTTTAGTTGACTTATTTTTTAAACTCTTGGCTTTTTAGTATTATTTCTAAAATCTCAAGAGTAATCTCAGGGTGACCAACTTCCATCCACTCATTTTCCTGTATTGACAAAAAGTGTTAATATAATGTAGATAAAGTTAAAATTCATAGGCATCTTTTTTAAACAAATGAAATTCTAAATATACACTTCTAAAACTAGTACTAAAATCCACTTGCATGAAGACTGTTGGGTGAGAAATCCACATGATAAAGTTAATTTATAATGTCTATTAAAAGATGTTAAACTAAAATTAACACAGATTTATAATCAAGAAAATATACTAAATTAACTGGCTTTCAATACTTCTAATGACACTTGTATAAAAGTTGAAAAATCACTTTCAAAAACTCTTCTCTAGGGTTTTCTTACCATAAATTCAAGTCTCACAGATTATGATAGAGAAGATGTATTTCAGTGTTCTGTCATCTCATAAATTTCCCTTTGAGACTAATTGAGAAACTATATTTTTTTCTCTATTACCTAAGTATGCCATACAGAATTCTGATAAGTGTAATTGTTGAATTGTTTAATATTCTTTAGTTAACTTAAGCAAGAAAGAATTTTATTATTAACCTCAAGATGAATGATCCTTTTATTTGCCTATTAGACACACCTGAGAGACTGCCTTCCTGAACAGAATGGCTACTTAGAGTGGAGAAATGTGGGGAGGGTCAATAGAATTGTGTGAAAAAAAACCTGCCTACCACCAGGCAACCAGAAAATGTATCTGATAACTGATTTTGAGGGTAGCAGATTGAACAAGAACTTAAAGATCTCCTTTCACCTCAAACTCCCATCTTTTTATTCTCTCAGGTCTGGCATTTTTTCAAATCCTTTAGAGATTAGAGAAGCAAGAGTGTTTATGATTCACTGCTATTACTGGGTGTGTTCACTTGGAGAAGAATAGAGTGATTCAGGTTAGATTAATAACAGGAGGGACAGGATAGGATATGTGTGGGGAGAGCGGGTGGGAGGGTCGTGACAGAGGGGTTGATTGTAGAAAGGTAATGGAAATAAAAGTTTTACTCAAGGAAGCATCTTTCTCGGATCCTTTATAAGCTCAGATATGACGCCTCTGCATTTACTTGGAGGGAAAAAAAGTCATTAGATGTCAGCAAATCCTTACGCAACAAAACATACTCTATAATCATCTTCAAACACCTGAAGTTTGAGTGCTAACAACCCCCAACATAATTCACAGTATAGAAATCTGAAGTGCTAGCAAATACGTCCAGTTTTCTACTCCTGTCTCTCACTGTTTCAGTCTTGAGAGTATAAAAGGTTTCTTTTTGGTGATATGGTTTAGAATGGGAAGAAAGGGTGTTCAATGATACTAATAAGGTGTTAAGAGCTATTTTACCATTTTCTAGGATACAATTGATCTTTTTGTTTTAATTGTCCACTCCTTGGCAAACTTTGACCAAAAAAATATAAAATGTCAGATTTCATAATGCACCTTTGTAAGCAATACCAAATCCACTGAATGCAGAGCCCATGGTCCTGAGATCTGAATCTCAGGGGGGGAGGGGGTTTGGGGGCAAGCCACTGGAGAGGCACAATTTGAGATGGGAGAGGTGTTTGAGCAAAGGCGCTTCCTTGACCCTAACCCACAAGATTGTGCCTGATGCCTGTGTCCCCCACCCATGTCCCCCACCAAGTGTCTGAATTATACCACTCAACAGTGGCATCACCTCTCCACC